TATTAATTCTGATCCCATTATTTTCATTTATTACAATTAATGTATTTTTTATTTGCAGTTACTTTTTATGCCCCTAAGGGCATACTGTTTGTTTTTTTTTTTTTTGGTCTGTGCGTCTGATTGTTAGTCCGTCTGTCCTGCTTTAGGTAAAAGTTTTTGGTTATAGTTTTGGTCAAAGTAGTTTTATATGAAGTTTAAGTCTAATCAACTTGAAACTTAGTACACATGTTCATGGTCCACTGAACATAGAAAATTATAGTGCGAGTGGGCATCTGTGTACTATGGACACATTCTTATTTATTTTGCATTGATGAAAGGAGATGTGGGGTTAATTTGAATTTGACAGCATCCACACAGTACAACTGAATACATAAGTAATTGACCTTCATACAGGTTTAAAGCCCAATGAACAAGTACTGCACTGTAAAACAATGTTTAAGTTTAAAATTCAAAGACCTTTAGAGGTCAACAATATCTAAATACAGTAAGTAAACATGTGCATATGAAGTATGTCAAAATTACCCTGGATCTCAAGAGATGGATTTTTACAGATGTGACATGTACAGTGGTTGTATTATGATGCACAGTTTAACTGGTGGTACAGGGTCAGGTCAGTATTTGTATGTATGTAGGTACTATAGCACATGTGAATGAAAAGAACATTTTTTGTTATCTCCTCTTGTCCTTTCTATGTAATTTTATCCCATTTTCAAGTTTCACCAATGCTGAGATTGATTTTTGGCTGAAACTGGCTTGTAAAATCATGATCTGCATAATATCATTTATTCAATATTATATATCCTCATGTAAAATAATTAGACAAAGGGAGACAACTCAAACCAATCACAGGGCCTCATGATATTCCTTTTGTTGTCTTTGTGATTTGTGGAAATATCAAGCACAACTTTGTAAAGATCTGTATATTCTTAGAAAAGGGATTATCCAATTATTATTACTGTACACTTTAATTTGGGATAATTATCAATCAGAACCATACACATATTTGTATAATTTTAGGATTAGGGTCTTGTCTTTGTGAGACCATAAGGGAGGAATATCTCAAGCACAATCTGATTTCCTGTACTGTGAGGATCATTCCTAAACATAACTTTGCATAGACTTGTATATTAATAGGATTAAGATCTTGTCTGTGTGAGACCATGATGGAGGAATATTTCATGCACAATCTGATTTCCTATACTGTGAGGATCATTCCCAAATAGAACTTTACATAGACTTGTATATTTTTAGGATTAGGATCTCGTCTTTGTGAGGCCATGAAGGAGGAATATCCCATGAACCACCTGATTTCCTGTACTGTGGGGATCACTTCCAAGTAGAACCTTACATATATTTGTATATTTTTTGGATAAGGATCTTGTCTGTGTGAGACAATGATATCTCATGCACAATCTCATTTCCTGTACTGTGAGGATCATTCCCAAATAGAACCTTACATAACCTTGTATATTTTTTAGGATTAAGATTTCGTCTGTGTGAGTCCATGAGGGAGGAATATCCCATTAACCACCTGATTTCCTGTACTGTGAGGATCTGTCCCAAATAGAACTTTACATGGATTTATATATTTTAAGGATTAGGATCTCGTCTTTGTGAGGCCATGAGAAGGAATATCCCATGCACAATCTGATTTCCTGTACTGTGAGGATCATTCCTAAACATAACCTTACATATATTTGTAGGGTTAGGGTCTCGTCTGTGTGAGGCCATGAGGGAGGAATATTCCATGAACCACCTGATTTCCTGTACTGTGGCGCCATGTTTGACAGGAGAAAGTCCTTTACAGAACTATAATGCTTTGCTAACACTGTCATACCTTCAAAGGTAAAATTACAAGTAATGTTTGGGACATTTAATGATTAGCTTAAAACCTTCTAACATAACATCATTTTAATATGATCTTCAAGGAAAATCAGAAACAAGAAAATGAAACCTGGGAATAGATTTGGTTTTAGAAATTTAAAAATTTGAATGCACAAAAAAATTGAACAGTTTTTTTGTTTGTTTTTTTTTATTGGAAGTTTCTTCTTTTTGATATATAATTTTTTTTCAACTTTTCCTAAATATTTTTCAAATTTATAGCCAAACTATAGATACTTTGTAATTTAAATGATCTTTTACACATGCAGTTTTTATTTCAGAGATATAATTATAAAGATGATTATATTTCAGGAATACAGACTGTGTTGTTCTGACCTATAATGATGATTCTGTTTTAGGAACACTGACTGTGTTGTTCTGACCTATAACGATGATGTTCTTGGAAAACTACAGAGAAAGATGAAGAGTGTTTCCTTTGATGCCATGAACACCTCTATAGCCTCTGCTTTAGGTGGAGTATTCCTGCCCACAGATACCATGACATCAAAAAGGTTAAATTATCTCCCCTTATATAAAACAAAAATGTATCTTTTGATGCCATGAACACCTCTATAGCCTCTGCTCAAGGTGGAGTGTTCCTGCCAAGAATACCATGACATCTAAAAGGTTAAATTATCTCCCCTTATATAAAGTGACCATGTATCTTTTGATACCATGAACACCTCTATAGCCTCTGCTCAAGGTGGAGTATTCCTGCCAACAGATACCATGACATCAAAAAGGTTAAATTATCTCCCCTTATATAAAACAAAAATGTATCTTTTGATGCCATGAACACCTCTATAGCCTCTGCTCAAGGTGGAGTGTTCCTGCCAACAGATACCATGACATCAAAAAGGTTAAATTATCTCCCCTTATATAAAACAAAAATGTATCTTTTGATGCCATGAACACCTCTATAGCCTCTGCTCAAGGTGGAGTATTCCTGCCAACAGATACCATGACATCAAAAAGGTTAAATTATCTCCCCTTATATAAACAAAAATGTATCTTTTGATGCCATGAACACCTCTATAGCCTCTGCTCAAGGTGGGGTGTTCCTGCCAACAGATGCCATGACATCAAAAAGGTTAAATTATCTCCCCTTATATAAAACAAAAATGTATCTTTGATGCCATGAACACCTCTATAGCCTCTGCTCTAGGTGGAGTGTTCCTGCCAACAGATACCATGATACCAAAAAGGTTAGATTATCTCCCCTTATATAAAGTGACCATGTTTCTTTTGATGCTTTGAACATTTCTATAGCCTCTGCTCTAGGTGGAGTAATCCTGCCAACAGATATCATGTCACCAAAAAGATTAGGTTATCTCCCCTTACAATTATACATTCAGATTTTTTGAATATTATTCTTTTACAAATGTATAATAAAAAAGGTATACTTTCACTAAGTATACAACTACCTAATGTTAATTTGGTGAAGTACCAAAAGATTGGATTTGTTGTCTAATTAGAAAAGAATTTGTATAATATTGACATGAAAAACAGTATAAAAAATCATGCTTTACACAAATTCTTAAAAATAGTCCCCTCATGTATGCTAAGGGGCATACATAGTTTCTCCTCCGAATCTATACAACATAGTCATATGCTTACATTTTCAGGTTTGATGCAATCATTTGTTTTAAAAAAATGTGTAGGAAATAATAATCCTTTAAAAACAAGCTATATACTGTCAGGTCTTTCACAAAAATTGAATGGATTGCTTTCCCTTATGTACATAAGGATGTAGATAGTCTAAAAACTGTACAACATGTTTACTTGCTTACAATGAATAAAAAAGGCTTGGTTGTCTCCCCTTGCACTAAAAATGAAAAAAAAATGTTGTACCTCCTCATAAAAGATTTGATTCCTTTTACAAAAAGTTTTTAAAAAGTTTTGATTCACCCCTGTTATTTGACCCATAATATGGTGTTTAAAAGTTTTTTTTCTCAAATCTACAATAAAATTATAACATCTTTCCTAAAAAATGTTGATTAACTATGGGACACAAGTTTAAATTCAGATATGAAGGGTCACCTCTTACACCATGTCTCCTAAAACATAAAAAGAGGTAAACACAGTCTCTAGAAACCTATGAAAATAATCACTGCTTCAACTAATTTTTTTAAAATTAACTCCCCTTACATGACAAATTGGGTAAACAGCAAGTTTCCATTTAAAACTTTCAACCCTTTAAAATGTTACATGACAATAATGTATAAACAGTCATGGGTTTCATCAAGGAGTTTTAAATGATCTCCCCTCACACCCAAAAAGTTTTAACTGATCTCCCCTTACACCAAAAAAGTTTTAAATTGTCTCCCATTACTTTTAGAATTGTGTACCAACTCTGACATGAAACCATAAAAAATGGTCACATCTTACAAACAAAATGCATATATTGTCCCACTATGTTAAAAAAAGCTTTAATACATGTATAGTTACTTCTGTTAAAATGAGTAAAATTGGTCACTTCTACAACAATTTGAATGGCCTATTATATAATGACATAAAAGCAGATTATTTTTTGGCTTTTTTAGCTCACCTGGGGCCAAATGAGCTTTGCTCATCACTTGGCGTCCATCGTCTGTCATCGTCGTTAACTTTTTACATTTTGAACTTCTTCTAGAGAACTACTGAATGGAATGAAACCAAACATGGCATGAATGTTCCTTATGAGTCGCTGACCAAGTGTTGTTACTTTGTAGCCGATACATCATCCCAGATGGCGGCCGCCAGTGTGGGACTTAGTTTAACAAAGGACCCTATAGGAAATACATACAAATATCTTCTTTTAGAGAACCACTGAATGGAATGAAATCAAACATAGCAAGAATGTTCCTTTTGAGGTGCTGACCAAGTGTTGTTACTTTGTAGCCGATCCATCATCCAAGATGGCCGCCAGCAGAGGACTTAGTTTAACATAGGACCCTAAGGGAAAAATATACAAATGTCTTCTTTTAGAGAACCACTGAATAGAATGAAACCAAACAAAGCATGAATGTTCCTTATGAGGTGCTGACCAAGTGTTGTTACTTTGTAGCCGATCCATCATCCAAGATCACTGCCAGCGGAGGACTTAGTGAGGAACATATATTTTCCTTATAAATCATCAGTTTGGTAGTATAGGTAATGTAGTGATAGCACGAGGTGACAGTACAGAGACATTTTATCCTCAGATGACACAGGGGCTGGAGAAAAAGTTCCGTAAATCTTTCAACACTGTCAGCTGGAATCCATTCTCTATAGATATCTGGACTGGTATGTGAAAAAGAATATAGATATAAGAAGATGTGGTATGCGTGCCAATGAGACAACACTTCATCTAGGTCACAATGTGTAGAAAATAAACAAATTTTTATTTTTATTTTAATCTCACGGCTTGTCAAGCAGTTTAAAAGTTTAAAAGTTTTACCCATGAGAGAATAAAAAAAGTATTGTATCTAATGGGAAACATCAAAATAAAAGCCCACAAAATTATTTAGTCCCAAAAAATACATATCATGTAAAAAACACAATTTTAACAGTATGATTGATAACTGTCTTACAAACTTGTTAAACATTATTTACTTTCACCTGTTCAATTAAAATATAGTAATTAATTGAACTATTTTAGTCTTTTGATATCATAAAGTCATCTATGTCAAAACAGCTACCGGGTACTTCAATTCTTGTGTTGGCTAATAATGGAAAACATACACCATTTATCCATTAAACATTTTTGACAAAACAGTTACTGTGGATTCATTTATTTTCGTGGGTACCATTTTTTGTGGATTAAGGAAAACTTGGATGTCCGTGGATATTTAATTTTGTGATTATGCCGAGCTCTGTGTACTATCCTATAGAAAATATGTCATTCTTTGAACATTTAATTTTGTGGTTCCCCTGTACCCACAAAATCAATGAAAATTGGTATCCAACTAATAATAATGAATCTACAGTACACTGAAATTTAAGGTGTCTTTTGAAAGAAAACACAAAAAGAATAAATTGCAATTCAAGAATAAACAACAAATGTTCTTGTCTTTTTATAGGAAACCATAAAACTATATGTTAATTAGGTATAAAACAAAAATTAATCAACTGTTCAGGAGAATATTTTTAAGAATGAGAGAAGTACATACATTAAGTGTCAGTAGAAATTTTATCTAGTATATTCAATAATTTATTGTTTCAGCCAAGACCAACAGTATTGGACCAAAAGACACAGCTTCGATAACAGTAGCATCAAATTCAGAGTCAATAGTAGAATACCTCAAGACAGTCTATGAAAGGTCAAGGGTCAAATTTGCTGCCAAAGCTTATCTCCATTGGTACCACAAATATGGAGTAACCAATGTAAGTAGGACAGTGTTTAAATATTTATACACTGCAGCTGTGCTATTTGCGCTGTCATATTGCACTGTCTGTTTAATCATTTGTGATAGACAGTCACTGACCTTATATCACCTTGTTTATGACCTTGACACTGCATTTCTCTAGAGTTTTTATTTATGACGTCATTAAAAGTACAGGTTATCGGAATTTTTACCTCGTATGCTCCAAATTAAAAAATGATGGTTTTTTCCCTTAACATTTCATTTGGAACAGTTGTAGGAGTTGCAGTATATAAAGAATAACCATAAATTATCTTGAGATCATTTCAAGACAATGTATGGTTATATTTTATATACTAGTATATACATGATATATAGGTTTCAAAATGAGTAATTTTGTCTTGGTAAACATATCATAGATATAAGAAGATGTGGTGTGAGTGCCAATGAGACAACTCTCCATCCAAGTCACAATTTGTAAAAGTAAACCATTATAGGTCAAAGTACAGTCTTTAGTATGGAGTATGGAGCTTTGCTCTCACCGTACACCAAGGTATAAAGGGCCCCCAAAATGACTAGTGTAAAACCATTCAAACGGGAAAACCAACGGTCTAATCTATTTAAAAAACAAGAAACGATAAACACATATGAACCACATCAACAAACGACAACTACTAAACATCAGATTCCTGACTTAGGACAGTTGCAAACAAATGCAGCGGGTTTAAACGTTGTAATAGGTACTAACCTTTGAACTTATCATGCATGTATGGTAGAAATAGGATTACAAACTAGATAATTACTGGTACAAAACATACTCTTTCCTTGAGGCTTGTATTTAAGCAAATATCAATTACTCATACTGAACCTTATGACAAAAAGTGACAATAGTAGATTCACACATGTCTAATGTCTAAATAATTAATCAAATGTAACAGATATTCAGCTAATCATTGTCTGTCAGGGATAAAAAAATAATATTAAAATAGCCGTTTTTCAAATCCTGGTATGAAATCATTTGAAGCAGCAAAAAAGAACACACTTAAATGCATTTTTTGAAATTTAAATAAAAGTGTTTTGAAAATTTAGTATTCAAAGGTAAAATATAATATAACAGAACAGCGTAAATTTACGATTTTTACAATTTGAGTTTTATCTTTTTTCAGGAGGATTTTGAAGAAGCATTTAATGTTGTAGAAGACATTATACAGAATTATAAAAGTGCATTTTCATAAAATATGAATAAAATTTAAGAATTTGATATTCTTGAACTACAAAGCTCATCAGTATTAAAAACACATATGTTCTAAGAATTAGATATAGATGTATTGATTCACTTTTCCCAAGGGGCCTCGGTGGCCATGTGGTCTAAGTAGTCGAACTACTGCATCACTAGCCTGTCAAGACCGAGGTTGTGAGTTCGAATCCTGCACGTGGCAGGTGCACTCGACTCCAATTTTAATTGAGTGTCAGTTTTCCTACCGAAGGGCAGTGGTTCTCTCCAGCACTACAAAAGTCAAAAAGACTGAAAAGACCAGTTTTTGTCTGAATTTGCATGAATTTTTACTCGACATTCTTAATTTATCTGAATAATTTTTAAAAATTCTTGACATAGTATGAATTTGTCTAATAAGGTTCTAGATTTTTCTTGACAAGTCTCTTGACAGTATGAACATTGTCTTAAAATTTCTCGACACTTCCTGTATCATCTGATAAGAGTCTGGATTAGTCTCGACCAATTCTTGACTGTCTTAAATTTGTCTCGATCTGTCTTGACATATTCTTGACATTCTTAATAATGTCTGAATATGTCTCTACATATTCTTGACATTCTCAATAATGTCTGAATATGTCTTGACACATTCTTGACAGTCTTAAATATGTTTTGACACTATCTCAACAGTATAAATTTTGCCTGAAATGTGAACAAATAATTCTGCACTGTTTATGACATTTTATTGCTGTTGTATACTCCTTTTTATTATGGCTAAACTAAACTTTGAAGAATCAAGGATTAATTTGGTATAGTAAGATACCCTTTTGGTGCAACTAAGTTGGAATACCCTGAATAATCCCCCATGTAGTTTAATTTTGATTTATTTTTATTAAACATTTAAGTAATTGTTTTCACTTGGAATATAAGTCGAAGGTATTGACAAACAGCATTTAGATTTTTGCCGTTTGCAAAACTGCCAGTCAAATTTGCTTTACTAAAATAGGTGTCTTGTATCTCTTTTGGACCCCACAATTCATCTTTTGGGTTTGTGTGGCTAAAAAAAGAAGGGGGGGGGGGGCTTTCGTTTAGGTCAAAGAATTTGTTCCCATCTTGATTCAAAAACCTTATTCATTTTTTAGAACAACCCAAAAACATTTTATTCAAATTTGAGTGTTGAATTTTATAATTTTTTATCAAAAATAAATATTTGTGATAACTCCTTCCTGAAAAGAAAAAAAATGTTTAGATCTATATTATGCTTGTCTGTTTGAGAACCATTTCATAAGACCGATGATTTCTATAGAAATCATTGATTGGACCCATTATAAATACATTTTTTTTATTATTCCTGGAGTAGATAATAATTTTCTTTTAATCTTTGGGAATTATTCAATTTGTTTTTATGTTAAAATAATTAACTTCATAATTTTGATGAAGAAAATCCATTTCAATTCAATTTTTTTTCATCAAAATGATGATTTTCATTTTCATCTATCAACAAACTTTTTAAATTGTAGTGGCATGGTCGGTCAACTGATAAGTTGTATGGGTAATTACAGGTAAAGCAATAACTTCTATTTGACAGTTGCGTGTACTCTGAGGTGTGGAATACCTTAATTTTATGCGGAACATCCTGTCCATGTGTAATACTTAATATATTCCAACAGATGACATTACACAAATTTTTCTTCTGTTAAATGAATGATATGTATATCATCATAATTTGCTATTTATATAAACCACATTTTGGTATAATAATTATTTACCATATCAACATTGAATATTATGAATGTAGAATGAAATATGTCTACAGTATGATTGGTTTGAATCATTTAATTTATAAGATTTAGGAATCAAAATTTGTAATTATTTAAAAACCCACATTGAAATTGTTTTATATCAACACACCCACATTTAAATTATTTTATACTTTAGATTTCATAGCCATATTTGCATTTGTAAAAATATTTATATACCCAAATTTTCAATTATTTTACATGCCCAACTCTTTTTTTTGTTGTAAAGAAGTGTAACTTGAAACAAGTCAACAGTATATCATATAAAGAGAAATAAAAATTAAAGTTATATCTTGAATATTGGTAATGATTTGTAAAACTCAGAACTGTCAAGTAAATTTAAGACACGATTCAAAATGTTCAGAATATGTCAAGCCATACTGAGAAAAAATAAGAATGTCGAGAATATGTCGAGAAATTTCAAGACAGTATTCAAATGTCAAGAATTTGTCAAGAAATTTTAAGACCATATTCAGAATGTCGAGAATATGTCGAGTAAATTTCATACAAATTTAATATAAATGAGAATTTGTCAAGAAAAATTAAGACACAAGTCATACTTTTGGAGAATGTCGAGTAAAAGTTCATGCAAATTAAGACAAAAACTGGTCTTTTCAGACTTTTAGACTTTTGTAGTGCAGGCACTCCACCTTCCTCCACCAATAAAAACTGACCCCCAAGAAATAGCACAATAGTGCTGTAAGTGGTGTTAAACACATATCAATCAATCAATCATTTGTCTGCATGTATTGTTTTTATACCAATACGCTAGGAGTGGGGTTTATATTGCATTCATTTTTTCTGTCCTCTCATTCAGCAAATATTTCTGTCACATTTACTCAGATTCTACTGAACAGAATGATTTCATAATTGCTTGTCAGTGATAAGGTGTAACAGGCTTACACTTTTGAGATCTGTTAGATACTTACTTCATGATCAATGATACTTTGAATTTTTCAATTGGTGAATGAACTTCAAACTTTTAATCACACATTTACTGAGTATTACCAAACTAAATTGCTTCATATTTCAGAAGCAGCTTGACAGTGTGAGTTGTAAAGTATAAGCATTTTTGGGATCTGTAATAACTATGATTTATTTATATATCAGTTGTTATTGGCTTTACACTAGCTTTCAGGAACTGCAAGTACTCTTAGTGTAAACAATTTAAGTACTCTTAGTTCGGTACTTTGTGTCTTTTGTCATTATATTAGTTTGTGTGGGTTTTTTTGTGTGCCTTTTGCCGATTTGATGAGACAAGACATTCCCAACTGTGTTTTAGCTCACCTGGCCCACAGGGCCAAGTGAGCTTTTCTCATCACTTGGCGTCTGTCGTTGTCCGTCGTCGTTTGTTAACTTTTACAAAAAAAATGTTCCTCTGAAACTAGAGGGCCAAATTTAACCAAACTAGGCCACAATCGTCATTGGGGTATCTAGTTTGAAAAAAATGTGTCCGATGACCCGTCCTGCCAACCAAGATGGCCAACATGCCTAAAAATAGAGCATAGGGGTATAATGCAAGTTTTGTCTATTATTTTGAAAACCATTATAATTAGAGAAAATCTGACTGGGGCAGAAATATTCAGAATGTTGAGCTCTACCAATTGTCCATCAACGTCAAAACTGTCAGACGACTTTTTATAGGAGTTATTGCCCTTAAATGTCAAATTTTACCATTTTTTTCATTTTTGCCTATTATCTTACAAACTATCATAGATAGAGAGAAACTTTTAAATGCAAAAATGATCAGCAAGATAAGTTCTACTAATAAGTCGACATGATCCAAATCATCAGTAAACTCCTTATTTGAGTTATTGCCTTTGGTGACGATTTTTACCAATTTTATGCGTGTTTTGCCTTATATCTTAAAAATTATAATAGATAGATAGAAACTTAAATAAGCAAAAATGATCATCAAGACAAGATCTACAATTAGGACAAATTTCTTGTTGGAGTTATTGCCCTTTAATGATGATTTTTACCATTTTTTTTTGCGTTTTGCTTTGTATGATAAAAATTATAATAGATAAGCAGACACTTTAAATCACAAAAATGATCAGCAAGATAAGATCTACTAACAAGTCAAATTTTGCAGATATAGTTAGTGGACTGTCACTCTTTATAGGAGTTATTGCACTTAAATGAGGAAGTTAATTTACCCTCTTTTGTGTTTTATGTTTTGAGAAAAAAACTAAAGATGAAGAGAAACTAAACAGACTAAATGATAAGAAATACAAATACAAAACAGATTTTTGTCATGAATTCTATTCGTGTCTACAATATTGGAAAGTATCCTTTGTTGAATATGCACATATACCAAGGTGAGCGACACAGGCTCTTTAGATTCTCCTGTTATTCCCTTGTCATTGTTTATTGGTGTCTGTGATATTTGTTATTTTCTTTTATTGTTTTGGTATAAATCAAGACATTAGAGATTTCATTTGAATTATTTCCATATTTTGAAATGTCATGGCCTTTTAAAGCTACCTATACCACATGAGTTTGGTCATTGTTAAAGGCCGTAGGGTGACCTATAGTTGCTAAAAAACGCTTCATTTGACTCTGTTGAATAGTTGTACTACATACTTCTTTTATTTTATGTAAAATTGTGGTCATATCAATGTCAAACTTAGAACCGATATTTTTCAAAATTTTCTACTTTTAAAAAAAATTAGTCCAATTAGGTTTTGACAGCTTTCGCAACTCATTGACTATGAAAATGTGATGGTATGAGCAAGGCACTATGGACACACATTCTGGATTTTTATACGACCCCCAAACAATTTTTTGTGTCATATAATGCTATGATGTCGTCTGCGATGTCGCTGTCGCCGTCGCCGTCATCCTAAGACACATTTGGTTTCAGGACAATAATAAATTTGAGAATGGAAATGGGGAATGTGTCAAAGAGACAACAACCCGACCATAGAACAGACAACAGCAGAATAACTTTAGTTTAAGTGAATGGATCTCTATGAAATTGTACCAGAAGGTTCAATACCACAGACAGTATCAAGCTTGAATATTATGTCCAAACTTGCCCCAACTTGCCCCAACTGTTCAGGGTTCGACCTCTGCGGTCGTATCAGGCTGCGCTCAGCGAAGCATTTTATTTTGTTTTTGTCTAGCCTGTGACGAATGTAGAATGATAATATAAAGATGCTAATGTGATGGAGGCAGCAAAGCTGGCATAAATTATTTGTATAAAGATTTATTTTTCAGAAGGTAGGAGACTGGCTGCTTCATACC